ATATATTTAAGTACAACTTAATTGACCCTCTGTTGTGCCCCCATGATGATATACTCAATGGCATATACATAATCCACTGAATGCACATCTTATAAGGTCATTGAGAAATTATGTCGAATGTTTATGATGTTCAAGGAACCTGTATGTATACAAATATAGATGGCAATGCTTTCAGTAGTGTCATATATAAAGGGGAAACATTTGCAAATGTAAATATATGTATATACATATATGAAGATGATCTATCAGTACTATATAATATCTACCTTATTTTTCTGTACTGATTATAAAATAAGTTATAGATGTATATTTTAAGCATCAAAATCGTTGATAAAACTCAAATTTCTTTGTTTTCTAGAGAAATGGAGATGATAGCACTCAGCTCAGGAGAAAGATGGAAGGATTTCTTTTCCAAGACTGCAGTGGTTCCCCCAGCATTTGAAAGAGAGCATGCAGCACCAGATGTGTCCACTCCCCTACGAATCACCCTCAATACCATAGAGGGTCTGATAGGAAAAGGGGATGCTGAAAAGCAGCCGGATTACCAAGTTTATGTCAGCCTGTATGACGCGGCCTACAGACAGTTTTATGGCAAACAGTGGGTTGGACCCATTGTAGCCCCACAGGGAGGGGGAGTTAAAAGACCAAAGCTGAAATACAATGAAAGTCTGTATTTTCACACATCTATCCACAGTGCTAATATAGTAGCTGTTGTGGAGGTTGTGGCCATCACACAGAAAGACAGCATCAAGCCCAAACGTGTGTCATGTGGGTGGGGAGTTTTGAGGATATTCAATGAAGAAGAGAATAGTGAAGAACCTTCTCATGGGAAAAATGCTAAAAAGGTAAAACTAAATTATGGAACACCCCGGGCTTTATTCTTTATGGATGAACCAGTAGAAGAGAATGAAAACCTGAAGCCAATCCCAGATTGTTTACTTTCATTTACAGTAACAAAACACAGACCAATGTATGGAGTTATGTCTCTTTTACCAGAAAATACACTTGTTGGGGGTAATGAAGTCATTCCAGGACTTTTAGATGGAAGTAATACAAGCGTTGATTCCCTGAAGAGGCCTAAATTACTGAATCAAGTACCTATTCAAATACATAATCTGCGCATTCAGCTAAACCCAAATGTTGAAAAATTTGATGAAGAACTTTGCGAGGCTGTACACAAAGATAGAGAGGGTACAGAAAATAAGAAGCTACCTGGAACTTCCATATCAGTTCTTGAACGCAGACTTGTAGTTGGAGTTCATAATGGTTTGAATTTTCTAGAGAAACCAGAGACAATGTACCTAGATGTGTATGATGAAAAAACTAGAGCCTTAAAGCCCCAAAATAGTCCAAATCTTCGCCGAAGCAAACGATTTCATAGCTCTCAGAGATCACTAAACAGTAGTGATGGTACATCTACATGCCTTGTAATGAAAAACAAAGTGGAACTAAATGAAGTGTTAGATGACCCAATGTGTGCTGTTGTCTTCAGACTTGAATATGTATTAACACATAAAATATCTGAGGAAGAGAAAAAATTGTCCCAAAGTATTACTAAAGGACTTACTCAGACTGTTTCAGTTAGATGGGGAGTGTGGAATCCAGTTCTCCAAGCAAATAGCCATGCTGTCCAAGTGTCTTTACATGGAGGCCCAATCAAATTCCCAGACTATGATTTCCTCTTTAAGATGCCTGATACAAAAATGCAGAACTTAGAAGCAAACAAGACAGCAGGGGGAATGATTACACTACAGTGGGGAAGAGGAGAAGGTCTAAGTGAACCATTGCCCATTTCCCAAATGCTTCATCCAGGCTCCATGTCCTCAATGCGCAGTGAAGCAGATGAGACTATGCTAGTAGACAGTCCAAATGGTAGGAAACCTCCTTCTGGAAAACGAGGTGTCCCTGGTCATCAAGTACCCCAGCAGTCTGTGGTGCAGTCTGAGATGGTAGCTGCCATGTATTCCAGTGCTCTCCAACAACAGGTGCAGCCACCAAACTTACAGCCTGGTTACCCATATATGCCTATGCAGCAACCCATGTATGGATATGGTCCAGTTTATCAACAAACCCCAAGAAGTACATTAGCTGCTGCCACAGAGATGCAGGAACTACCCTGTCAACCATTCCATGCACCTATCATAGCACTTCCACCTCAACCCAATAGAAACAGAGGATTGTCAAGAGCAGCTTATGCTAAGCTCTACTCCACTGATTTTCCAGCTATTCTTGATGCTAATGGAGATCCTCCAGAAGTTATTGATGTGCAGAAACCTTGGGAAATTGATTTGAATAGAGAAATCCAAGATCCTTTCCAGTGTAATGAAATTGTATTCCAGTTCCTTGCCTTTGATAGGCCATCTGCTGGGGAGAATTCAGTTACTGACCATGGTAACACAATTTTCTTCACTTTCCAGTTCTACAGGTTACCCCAAGTAACAACAGAGAGGGTAATGCTGTGTAAACCCCAAAACGAGTTAGTCTCAGATAACACTTCGATGCCCTACATCATTCATCAACTGGAAAAGGATCACCCTGGTCCTGCTGGACTCCAGATCAAATACATGATGGATCCAATGTTTATGAAGCCAGGAGAAATGCAGATGTTTCTTCAGCACCTCTCGCAGCAGATTTTATACATTGATGTCTGGGATGGTGAATCATTATTCCTAATTGGACAATGTGCGGTTGATCTCAGATATTTATGCAGGAATGGACATGAAGCCGTGCAGTCGACATTCGAACTAGATGTAATAAAGACAGAATATGAGGAAATTTCTAATATAGGTGGTGCCAACTCTGCACAACATCCTGGCAACAAAACCTGGATTAATGGAAAGCTCCATTTCAGAATGGCTAATGTTGGTCATTTGGTAGATCACAAGGCTAAGATTGAAGCTCCACTGACCATTAAAAAGAAAAACCATGTTATCATTTCTCAGACTGCTGGAAACATTTCTTATCCAGGTGGAAGTTTAGAAGGAGGGTCTGTGGTGTCAAAATCAGGCTTGTCATCGAAAAAGAAAGTAGTACGTGCTCACCATATTGCAGAGAAAAACAGGGAAGTTGCTCAGCTGCTATCTACCCACAATGATCAAATGATACCAGAAAAAGATGATGGCCCACAGGAGCTGGATGCAGAGACAAAGAGGAAACTGTCCCGCATGGAAGCTGTGAGACAAAAGAAGGGCATAGACAACAAGTTCAATACAGTTCTGGCCTTTAAAACAGAAAAACAAGAACGAATGAAGGACTACAAAACTCTGGAAATTTACCGTCTACAGACAAAAAAAGATGGTATCCTGAACATGTTAAGCCAGTCCATTTCTACCGAGCATATCATTCATCCCTCCTTTGGATCACCAGAATTCTTTGAATTTGTTCTGAAAAATCCATTGAACGTACAACAAACGATTACAATAGAGTTTGAAGACACTGATTTAAGGGTAATTACAGATGCAAGGGAGTGGCGCTATTTCAAGCAGCTAAACGGTGTACAGACCCAGGTGGAAGAGGATATGTTCATCAAAGAAAGCTCTTCACAACATCCTCAGATCTTTCTCCGTCCAAAAGAAACTGTTCAGATTCCTTTTAAATACCTCTCCTTTACCACAGATCAGTCCGTGCAACTGCAGGGTCCATCTGATCCTTTCAAATCTTCCAAAAATGATACTAGTAAGAAATCATACCATTTAATGCATACAAAATATGTCAGGGCAGTATTCAAAGGAGAGAATGACAAAGCTGTCTCAATTTTACAATTAAAAATTGAACCCCAGCCACATGTTGTGAATCAGACATTCCGATTTTATCACCCAGAGCAGACATTCTTTAAAAGATCAATTCGTCTCCCTGGCTCACAGAATCTTTCAGCTCCAGCAGGAGGATCTGGCTCTACTCAGTTCTTTGTTCGCTGCAGCGACAGTAATGTTATCACAGAATGCAAGCCTACACAGAGTGGAGAACCCGTGGATGTCTTCATGAAAGCAGCTCTAGGAGCCTCACCCCAGATTAAGCATTTTTACGTGTGTATATATTCAGATCCCTTTCTTAGTCATCCTGTACAAATTTGGCAGTTCTATCTTCACGCCTTGCAGAAAGTGGATGTGACTTGTGTGGAAGGTCAAACTAGCAGATTTAATTTGCTCTTAAGAGGTACGCAAGCATCACGCCTTGTGCGCAGTTTCTCATCCAACCCTAGGGAAATGCAGCTACACCCATCTGAGCAATTCTTGCTAGCAGCAGGAGCCGTTCATGAATTGAGTGTGGCAGTCCGTCCCATGAAAGAAGGCAACAAGCAGTTCCATTTGAATGTTGTAGATGTTGAGTGTCATCAGTTGGTTCGCACTTGGCTCATCTCTGTTATTTGCCAGCCACCAAACATTTCTAGAGCCTTTGAACTAAAGCTTCCAGTTGGAGGTGGTAAGGGCAGCAACAAGAAGATTACCTACACGAACCCCTATCCACACAAGAGGGAATATCACACACTGTCCAATAGGGAAGATTTACTCCAGTTCAGAGAAGATCATTTCACCATAGAGGGAGGAGAAACGTACACCATTGGTTTGAAATTTATTCCTGTAATGAAGCCAGGAGTTGCTGAAATTCTGGTATTCATTAACGACGAGGATGATAAAAATGAAGAAACATTTAAAATCACAGCAACATATAAGTAATAGTTTCATGCTGTACATCTACCAGTAGATATTATTCACTTTTGAAATGGCTGTGAAATGTGATGTATAACTAAATGCTCAAGATCTAAATCTTAAAGAATTTGAATGTTAACTTTAGAAGATACACAGACATTTGATTTTTCAAGATATGTATGGATAAGAAAAAAGCAATTTTCTTTGGGTGAAAAATTACAAGTAGGAACTTTCTATCATAGCTATAAGTACATGTAGAATTTTACGTATTCTGAGTTTGTAAAATCAACAGAACTGGCTTGCCACCTGCCTTTTTTTATTCTCAACTACTTGTGCTTCACTTATATGAATATGTGTGGCAAGCTCCAAATCCAGTGAAGTTAATTAAGATGTTTAGGATTGAATACTGCAATATATTTTTTTCAAATCAAATGAAAACTTGCCCAATGAAATTTACCTGGAAAGGGGGGGGGGGAGTTACAAAGATGTCCTAAATGTGGTAGAGTAAAGGAAAATGAAAAAAAAAAAATAAAAAAAAAAAAAAAACGTTGAAATAACCTTTGTAACAGAATTTGCAATTGCATTTTGTTTCTACTGGAAGTTTTGGGAAAATCAGAAATATGCCGAGGAAGAGTAGGAAAGTTGTCATATAATGAATTTAGTTTTAATGGTAATGCAATACAAATTGTACCAAGATACTGTTATTTAGGTATTATGATGAAATGTAATAGGAAGTTTAATTTAGCAACAGCTGTGCTTATTGAAAAGGCCAGAAAAGCATGTTTTAAAATGAAAAGAATTATTGGATTTGATAACCCATGTAAACTTTTAGAAAAACTCTTTGATGCTATTGTACTTCCAGTTCTTCTCTATTGTAGTGAAATATGGGGAGTGGATCTCTCATCCAAAGATATTTCAAATGTTGAAAATTTTCACTTAAAATTCATTAAAGACATCCTTGGAGTGCACTGCAAAACATCCAATGCTGGTTGTTTAGCAGAACTTAAAAGACTACCACTTTGGTCCAAAATTTCCCTCTCAAGTATCAAATATTGGAATCACCTGAAAACTTCTGATTCTTTGGCCTTTAAACTTTACCAATCCACAATTAACTGTAATTCTTGGACTAAGAAATTATTTTCTATTCTTGATAATCTTGGATTCTCTAACATTACAAAATATACAGGTTCCATCCAACACCTTTTACCAAACATTAAACAAAGAATCATAGATCAGTGCACTCAAGAGCAAACATCAAAAATCTTTGGTTCAGAAAAACTTGATCTCTTCAAGAAAGTATACTCAGGAAAAAGAAGTCCTTATGTTGATTTACTCAAAAAAAGATCTGAGAGATCCTCTCTTAGTAAAATTAGACTAAGCGCACATAAACTTGCAATAGAAAGTGGTAGATATATTTCCACATCAAGAAATGAAAGATATTGTAATGTTTGTAATACTGGTGTGATTGAGGATGAAATACATTTTCTTTTTCACTGTAATTCTTACTCTAAGCTAAGAAATGCATTCTTTAGTAATATTTATAACATAACAAAGAAAAATATTAATCTTAGCAATGAGAAATATATGCTACAATTATGTATAAACAGTAATATACAAAAACTCTTGAAAGTTACTGTTAAATTTATCAGAGACTGTTTTGATCTTAGAAGTCAATTACTTGACAATTCTTGAAAAAATATGTAAACATTATTTAATGTTGTTCAGTGGGCCTTTGCCAATTATTGTAATTGTGTTTGTGCCAATAAAGTATTTGTATTTGTATTTGTATTTGTATAAAATTTATCCTCCATGTGAAAAGTTGTTGGTGGCAAGCCAATACGATAGAGGTTTTATTTTCTATAAATTTTTGAAAAAAGAAAAAATATATTTCAATAGTATGAGTTAAATGCTAATGCTAGTTTGATACTATTGTATATGAAATTTCTAATATTTATTGATAGTTCCTGTTTAGATTATGTATTTTATTTATATAAATTATGAAAAAATATGAGGTTGCTTTATAATTTACTTCAAAAGAAATAATATGTAAAACATTACATACGGAATAGCTCTTCTTTCTATATTAAGCTACGCTAATACGTGAGATATGTCGCCGCTGTCGAGACATGCGTGTACTTGTTCCAATTCATCAACGAACGAATTGTCTAGCACCGGTATCCCTTTCCTCAAGCATGGCGAACAACGAAGATGACGCTCAGATTGAAGTAGAAGAATCTACTGAAATTAAGACAAAAAAGCACGATTCTGGTGCAAGGGATCTTGAAAAAGTTACAGACTATGTTGAAGAAAAAGAAATATCAGCTCAGAGCATCGGAGATGCGATGAAAGCAATGAGTGATAGGAAAACTAAAGAGAGGGCGAAAAAACAGGAGAGAGAACGAGAGCTGGCAAAAGTGAAAATTAACAAAGAAGATGTGGACTTGATTGTAGCGGAAATGGAAATTTCTAGACAAGTCGCCGAGCGGAAACTACGGGAACACAACGGTGATGTTGTAGAGGCGTTAGTTGCGTTAACGAACTGACAGTTAACGGGCGGCACGTCGATTTACCCAAATGGACCCAAATGGACCCAAATGCGACCCAAATGGACCCAAATGGACCCAAATGGCGACCCAAATGGACCCAAATGGCGACCCAAATGGACCCAAATGGCGATCCAAATGGACTTACATACACTTATACATATATATTTTTGCATTGTAATACAAATATTGTTAATTTAAATTAAAGGAAAATGTCTATGAGTGTGTGTGTTTGTTTTTATTCAGATATTCAGATATTTTAAATATGAAATTTAAAAAAATACGCTTTCCAATCAGGAAGAGTTTCACTAAGTTTTTTTTTTTGAGTAGATAATTACTTTATTAACCAATGACCTTCTTTAGAATGGATGGACCATTCAGATATTTCGATACAATTGAGAACTTAATGATGAGATCCAATGATTATATAAACACTGTTTTTTTCAATTGCTGCATTTTCAACTAATGAAGTTGCTGTTTAAAGGTAAGTGTCATAATTACTTAATGTGTAATTATATCATTATATTCCATCATAATAACATGAAAAATTAAAGCCATATATGGAGTAACTGTTGAAAAAAATATATTTTTGAAAGATAAAAAATTAAGTAAATAAATAAAGTTGATACATTTAAATTAAATTAAACATTTTGAATTTGTGCATTGCAGTACCCACAATGGTGCGTAAACAAGCGCAGAAGAAGAAAAACGAGTGGCCATGTGGTGGTTGCAGAAAAAACTGTGTCAATTCTTGTGTGTTTTGTGTAGTGTGTGACAAATGGTTTCACAGTGCTTGTGAAGACTTATCAGCTGATGACTTAAAATTATTCTCGGAAATTCCTGAGGACTATGTGTGTGTTTTGTGTCGTTCCGATGACGGGAAGTTCGATTTTCTTATGGGGATGGAGCGGATCAAAAAGGTAAGTTTTTTTTTCCTGTAGAATTATTTAGAGTTTAAGTGTTATATAGTGAATGTTAACAGTCATTCTACAACAACAAGACCTTATAAAATTTTTTTTTTTTTTTTTAATTTTTAAATTCTTTTTATGACTTAAATAAGTAGTTAATTTATAAGCTCAATTATTAAGCCTTAAATGAAATGTCTCATCTTATTTTATTTATGCTCTATATGGCGTAAATGATCAAAAAATATATTTTTAAAAAATACAAAATTAAGTAAAGAAATATAGTTTTAATACATTTGAATTAAAACTTATAGTAAAATTCTGTACACAGAGAACATCTCGATTCAACAAATAATACGATTTTATATTCTCTGTAGTGTGTTATTTAAATATTTTGTATTTTCTTCATAGTCAGAGAAAATTACGAGAATCCAAATTAAATTTTAATATCTTTGTAACGCAATTGACTTAGATTTTTTAATTTACGGAAAAGTTCTATCTTTAAATAAAGTTATGATACAAAAAATAAGTTCTTATAATTTTAGTCTAATAATTTTCATTGTACATTCGCCATATATGGCTTTAAATTCTTATAACGTATTATAAAATAGAAACAAATTCTATAATTACAGAGCCTTAACGACCTCTTTATTGAAAGTTAGAATGTTTTTATAGGACGATAATTTTACCAATTATAGAATGAAAACATAACTACTGATCTGATTGGTAAATAAGCAAGTCAAATGAATTGAGATTCCCATGATGTTTTGATAACCTATTACCCGACCACGCGCCAATATCTTTCAGTAGCCGCTAAACACACACCCCTATACGGTAGTAGTTATTACCCCTTAAATGTATTTAATGGTTTATTCCCACATAGCCAACATTGATTTATGAATATGTTGTTCTGAACATATTTTATTCAGATCCACAAGAGCAATAAGGATTATCAAGGATATTACGTTTGAATAAGTCTTGTTTCAATTCACAGATGAGCTTTAGTATGAATATTGTTACCAATACGTCGCCCGTAATACGATTACCAAACAAGCAATATTATGGTACGATTATAATCACTTATAATCTTACGAAAAAAATTGAGATGGTTTCCCTTATATCACTATTCAATAAATTCAATTTTTTAACTGTATCGGGTACAAAAGATTTATTAATTAAATATTTATAACCTGTCTGTCTGGATTGTTAACTGATCTTTATTTCGTGTACTGTATCATGATGTTCTGTATATTACCATACATCACAATTATTCATTTTATGAATTATTTTATGCTGGGTGTAGAAAAATACTCTGGCCAAACGACACTGATATTTCTTCATGCCTGATGCTGATGCAGCTGGTCTATCGGTTCTCATGGAAATTGACGAACTTATGTGCACTGCATCAGCGTCGTAATGGTCTGGATAGTGAATGTCGGAGAAAGTCACAAAACACTGTTTATATGTCTTTCGTAGATGTTTGTTGATTAGTTTTCTCTTCCGATCAAAGGTCTTCTTATTTAGTCCTGGAGTTTTTAAAAATTGTCCCCTGGTCAAAATCTCACACACATACACCGTTTTAATGCCACTTTTCTTAAGACAATTCACAACATCAACAATATCTTCATAGGTTTTCTTAGGACTGGATTCTACACTGATGTCATTTCCACCTAAACATACACAGACACTTTCAGGTTGAAAATGTATTAACTGCCGAAGGGCTTCCTTGTTAGGATTATCTGCTCGCATTCCACCAACTCCATAAAATCGACAATCACCTGGAATACCCAAAAATCCTTTACAATAGATACCTAGTCTTTTGATGTAACTGTCCCCGAATAGTGCAGTCTTTGACATGATTTAGCACAGATTCGAATGATACGGTCTACTGTCAGATGCGTTATTTATATATCATACGTGTGAACTAATCAAAGGTTGAACAGTATTCATAAAGCTAATTATTATTTTAATTATATAAAAACCAATGACATTGAACATTTAACGTCAGACTGAGATGCATTCAAATTATATTTTTAATTACCGTACAACATTATTAACATCATTATAAGGGTCATTCTCAATAATGTCCCGATTTCTGCGAAACAAGTTTTCTGGTAAATATTTTAATAAAATAAAATTTTTTTTTTTAATTTTTCATAAGTAAAATTGTCAAATTTGTTTCTACAGGTACTACTTATGTATGTGAAAAAATATCGGAATTGAAAAGTTGATAATTACCAGAAATTCTAGTATTAGGCCAGGTAAAATTAATCTTTAGATTCTCATTCTAATTTTTTTTAATGAAAAATGTGTTTTAACTCGATAAGAACAGTTTTCTTGTGCACTTGATAAAACAAACTGTTGATGATGTTTACTTATTTATCTTCCTTCTTGTGTTCCTTAGATGTAACGTCCATATTCTAATTGTTAAGTAATATTTTAACATTTTGGGGCTATGCGAGAAACTGAGTCTGGGCCCTGGTAGGGTGACGTGTTTTACAACTCGTTAAGAACAGTTTTCTCGACCAAAATTTTATTATATTGCCTACCTTTTTACCTATACAATAGATACTAGTAGTGCTTACCCAGTAGCTTATATTGTTTCTTCTTTTATTGTGTTTTGCATGCCTTTATTTACTATGTATATATGTTCTGCTTTTAGTTTTGACATTTTTTTTCATTTATTGCGTATAATTATTTTTTTTTAAAACATATCAAAAAATAATCCATACTTTTTTTGTGCGTAGTGTTACATTTTTTCTCGATATATATATATGTACAGAGAGAGATAGATATATTTATAGTAGGCTTCACGTTTCTCACAGTTACATGTTTCGCCTTTTTTATATGTATATCTGACAGAAATTTGTTTTGCATGCCTATTAGTATGTATAAATGTTTTACTTTTTCGTGTTCACTTTTTTATGATATAGTGCGTATAGTTAGTTGTTCTTATATATATGTATATACTTTAATGTTCTGTTGTTGTTGATTTTCTTATTTCTAGTGCTTGTACATATTGTCTATCACATATATATATATATAGAATATTATGTTTTTACTTTCTTAGTATGGATTATTTTTTGAAATTCATTTGTCTTTTTTTAACCCTCAATTTTATATTTAAAAACACCAAAAAATATTATCAATTTTAAAACGCGTATGGATTAATTATTATACACTTTCCATTTCGGAACTTTGGCTTTTTTTTTCCAAAAACATAAATTATGGCTCTTTGTATGGGTGGCCTCCACGTGGCAAGAGCTGGGCAACGTTATTTATACATATACGTTCGAAATATGTCATATACAACGTGTATGTATAAATAACGGCTAACAACCCTTTTCTTATCGGTTAAAATCTTTTGCACGTACTACTATTTTACTAAAATATGATTCAGAGTATCTCTGAGTCTTCTATTAGTCCATTTGGATCGCCATTTGGGTCCATTTGGGTCGCCATTTGGGTCCATTTGGGTCCATTTGGGTCGCCATTTGGGTCCATTTGGGTCCATTTGGGTCGCATTTGGGTCCATTTGGGTCCATTTGGGTCCATTTGGGTAAATCGACGCACCCTTAACGGGAGAAAGCTTCTATAAGAAATTGTGTACATGGATACGGAGGTGGAAAGTTTATACTGTTTGTTGGAACAATATGCACTTAGATAACTAAAAAGGGATGTAGTAACGAATTTATGTTCTTATGTCCAGACTTATTAGTTATGCTAGTACTTGTTAAGATATTTATTTACATTTATAATTAACATTGTCTTAATAAATTTAAAGCATGTAAATAAAGCTATCTAGAATGACATCTACCTTGATTCTGTGTTTTAATTGGAGAAAATTTTCATAACTTGATGTCTAGCTTTACATTGAACTTGTTGAGGTGTTGGAGACCTGAAGTTTGTTGAAGGAGGAAAAAATGTGATGATTCTCTTTTAGTGTCTTAGTCTTTTTAAGGTCCTTCCAGAAAAATGCAGCAATTTAATTTAATCAAATCACTCAAGAAGCATGTTGATTGAGTTAATTGTTAATGATTGTGACCTCTCAGAAACTGCACAATTTGATGCTGATTTCAAGCAGACATGGATTAGACTGTCGACAAATGAAGGAGTAATCTTGATGGAGATTCAGCTGAGCAAGATATTTGGTCTGTCTTTAATCTTAGCGAGGTGTCTTACTCTTAGGGACTAATAATTTTGGTGTGACGTTCACGTCGTAGTGGACGTCAGAGCAAAATTTTTAGTCCCTACGACATCTCACTGAGATTAGCATGGTGTCAAACCAAATATTTAACCCAGCTGAATCTCCATCAAGATTAATGAAGAAAGTTCAAGTATTTTCTGCAGGAGGGTAGTGTTGCTCTTCCATGGGCATATAGTTATTACTTTAAATTGTTTTCACTTTCATCTTTGTCACAAACTTGCAATCTCAAAAGGGATTGAATAAGCAAAAGACAGAGTTATCTCCCTTTAATCACAACTGTAAGAGAATTTAAATCATTTAAGACTCAATTATTTTACAGTATGATGGAGTAAAATTAAAGTTGTTATATAACCTTGTAAACAGACTTTAAATTCAAAAATGCTATTTTAAGGGAAAATGCTTCCATAAAACTTATTGCAAAGTTTATTGTGTACTATCTTTAGTATTGAAGAACAAGATTTAAACACTGCAACTTGCTCCAAAAACATAAATTTGGTTATTTTTCATGGAAATACTGAGTAATGGCTGGAGATGTATCATCCATGAAGCTATTTAAAGGCATAGCAAATCTGCTCCAAAACCTTTAGTCTTGGATGTTTAGAGTTTAACATAAGTTCTCGTCTTCAATGAGGTGCACTAAACATGGTGCAAGTTTTCTGGTATATTTACAACACCACATTCACCCTCTGATGTATTAGCTTGTACCATCTACTCCAGGAACCTGGACATTTTAGGGGAAAGTGACCAGTTACATCGTATTCTTCCTACTGAATACTCCTGTCCCTTTTGTCCTACCGGTAGGATTTTTTCTATCAACCAAGAATAAGCACCCCAGGAAATGTACTACATGTATTACCTATTAAAAATACATAGAGAATATTACATAATATGTCACATCACCCCGAGTGGCCCCATATCAGCCCGAGGGCTGATGTGACATATGATATGGATTTTAGTATGTAGTATTCTATTTATCATATATTTAAAATACTTAATATGCAAGTTCACATATGGTCATTGAAGAATGTTTCGTGCTTGTTTATGACATTTTTCTTTAAAATCTAATAGAGCCAATTTTAGGTAACTGAAAAAAATTAAGACCACAAATGTCATTAAAGAATTATTTTATATGAATATTAAAATAAAATCAAGTAAATTAACTTTTAAACTTTATACAAACGTTACTTCCAGTTTGATACGGATTTTCGGCCCGCCGTTCCGATACGTGATATGGATTTTCGGCCCGCCGTTCCGATAGGTGATATGGATTTTCGGACTGGTCCGTGATATGGGGTATTGTGACGTCACCCATATCACACCGTGCAGAATCGGTGTATATACTACTAAGTATATGATAAAAGATTTTAATTTTTCCAGTATAAATCTTGGTACTGCATTATATTTTACAAAACTTTGGTCAAAACAATTGCAACTTCAAACATGTCAAAATGAAAATTCATCATCTTGTATTTAGTTAATACAAAATGCAAGTTTTATAACAGTGACCTAGTTAGCGTCACTTTTTTTCAAGTTACTAAACTTGTGCCTGGGTCACTTGGTAGAATAAATATAGTATCCCACCTTTATATGGTGATAAATTTTAATTAAACAATTCTGTGGTATAGATATGCCTATTAACTTATGCCTCTACTGTTCCCAAACACTGAAAACTGACTCTTGACATTCAGTCAGATTTGGATAATACTGCACCCCACCCCCTCTCTCCTCCCTCTCTCATTTAACTCTTCTGCTTTTTGAGTATTTTGAAGCAATGACAAAACAAATTGCCTTTTTTTATTTTAATTACAATTACACTTGTAAATTCAAAGCATGATGGAATACATGTTGTAAACTCTCCATGAATTTGCACATGCCCTAGATATTTAAAAATAGGCTGAAATGTTCAAGGATACATGTATTAGATTCTTTTAAACAACCCTAAATTTCAATAAAGCTGGCTTTGTTAAAGTGAATAAACCTGATTTGTACTACATGTAATTACTCTGCATGCCATTTCATTTGGAACAATTTGATGAATATTAATATTTTGTTAACAAATACTACTTTACCACAAGTACATGTACACCTTCAGATGAAAAATATAGCACTTTACTGCAATGGTGTATAGCAAATTATGTATCAAAAATCTTTGATCTACAGTTTTGACTGTAGAAAGAGATGTGAGGTACACTTTTCTTAGTCCTGATGAAAAAATATGTTTATACTGTTCCACGTTTTCTCTCCTCAAATTTGAACAGAATGTTTCAAAAGCAGGGGTTCTATGTTTCCTACACAAATTTTACTGTAATCTTTATTCCTGGAAAACTGGTGAGAGAGAGAGACTTTTTGGTAAAGTTCTGAGTCATGTTTCATCTTCTTAAGGCAACTCTTTGCTTGTTGAGTGATGAGATAAGCCTCCCCTTCATTTTCACAATAAGATTCAAACATTAATGATATATCAGCAGTCTCCAAGCTTTTGTGATAAATCTTCTTGATAGTTATTTCCCCTGTGATCAGATTTGTGATTTCTTTTCTCAATCAGACTCCGATCTCAATGTCAAAGATGATGTTGAACTAGTTGAAGAGGCTGAAAAATAGAAGAAAGATAATGTTGATAACTCAGTACTGGCAACTAAATTGTTTATCTTTTTCAAATAATTAAAAAATTATAAAACATATATGTATTTATTTTTTGACTGTGCTTTGATGCTGCTGATTGTATGTGTGATATAATTCCCGATGGCAGCATTGCCCCCCCACCCCCCCAAAAAAAACTTCCATCCTCTTCAGGTGGAAAAAATAAGCAGCATTTTTCTTCAGATTGGGAAAAATCATAATTATTCATAAGGTAAAAAGTGAATGCCTAAAACACTTTATTGGCATCTAACATAAAACAATTTCAACAGTTTGAGCTTGAGAATATTGAATTGAAATATCAAAAAACTGGTGAGTGGGCTTATGCCTGCTTGGTTTGATTTGTAAAATTGGACTTAATTTATAAGAAGCTTTTTACTGCTTGCAATGTGGAACATTCTAACATAGACAGGGACCTACAAATCAGTACATGCCTGTAGTTTTTTCTAAAGTTTTACGGTCAGTCTCACTTTCTATTCTCTTTAACATAACATGTGGATATATATTTTTGTACAAATAATTTTGTATTTTTAATTAGAAAAAAACTGATTTCTAATTAGGATCTCTATTTTTTTTGGTCCCCCCACTCTCAATGAAAATTCAGTAATACCATCTGTCTCTGGTCCAATAACACTTCCATCTGATTCCTCTCTCTTCAAACTTCCTGTTACCAAGGAACCTTCCACATGTTCCTCAGATCTACAAAACCATGAAGCATAGACATGTACTTATATAAATAAGTGTATTATTTTACTTTATTTCAATTATGCACAAAATGATCCTTATCATTTACTGTAAACATATTCATTTGACTGTGTATTCTTTTTAGTGCTTTTGGTGGAGAGGAACTTCAGCTAATTCAAGTACAATGTTAAAATTCTTGCATATATATACACATAAATAAGAAATGAGAAATGTTCTAAAAAGTCAAATCTTTGCTAACTTGTTCAATTTCCACCAAATATCATACAAGCTAAATATAATACAGTACTTTCAGGGGGACAATTCATAAAAATCTTGCAGATCATGGAAACCATTTTTCACCTGGGCTTTTTTGCTGTTCCTTCATTTGAGGACTCATCTTGATCAACCTTGCGTTTTTCTGTCTGCGGTTTATCCACATCCTCCCGTACACGCAGCTGTTGTATTCTCCAGTCCACTGCTCTCAGGATGTTCTCAGAATCCTTGGGGCTGGTCTATGAACATAAATTATTTACATACATATAACAGTTTAAATGTGTTTGCACAGTTCATTTATTTAAAGCTTTCCTTTAACTAGAATATGACTTCTTCAATATTTTGAACGTTGTTAAATACTAATAGTTTCAGAATTTACAAAACACTCATAATTTGTCTTTTAGGTAATTGTCTAAATTTTAAAGAATGAACAAGGCATAGTTCAGTACAAATCTGACTAATTTTTCTTCATTTTTTTGTTTGTTTGTTTGTATTTTGTTTGTTTATTTATTGTTTGTTTATTTTTAAAAACTAGAAAGTGATGTAAGAAATTTAAAAAACTTGTGCTTCCTGAATTGCTGAAATTCCATGAATTAAGATTACAATAATCATTTTTCTCATAACATCTCCTACGTGTGCGACATCATGAACTTTTGTAATTATCAGTGGAATTTCTTTCATATAATTTTGATTACATGCATTGCTTACAGGAAGATATTGAGAAATCTGGTTTTCAAAATAAATTATGAAACATTTGAAAATTGAAGTAGGCAACAGAAAAATCACACCTAATATGAGTCATTTTGAGGCTTTTTTCCTGTTTAAAACTTAGAATAGTATCAGTTTTATGATGCATAATTCTAGAATGGTCCTCCTTCATGTCATATTCTTTCATGATTTATCACATTCATCAAATCATATTTAGTCAATTTCCTTTTTGAAAAAAAAAAAGAAAATAAATTTTTGGGACACAATTAAGCAAAAAAATACTTTCCCTCTAACACAGATTTATAGTACCCCATTAATACAAAGGAGAGAGGCCTTCACCCCATCTGAATTCAATCATGATCAAAATTCTACCAATTCTTATCATAAGGAACACCACCGGCACCATCATCTGAATTCTACCATGTCTTGCCATGAGAAGATCATCCGAATTCTAACATGTCTTGCCATGATAAGATCATCCCAATTCTAACATGTCTTACCATGAGAAGTCACACACCATCATCTGAATTCTACCATGTCTTACCATGAAAAGTCACACACCATCATCTGAATTCTACCATGTCTTACCATGAGAAGTCACACACCATCATCTGAATTCTACCATGTTTTACCATGAGAAGTCACACATCATCATCTGAATTCTACCATGTTTTACCATGAAAAGTCACACACCATCATCTGAATTCTACCATGTCTTACCATGAGAAGATCATCTGATTCTACCATGACTTACCATGAGAAGTCACACACCATCATCTGAATTCCACCATGTCTCACCATGAGAAGTCACATACTTTCATCTGAATTCTACCATGTCTTACCATGAGAAGTCACACACCATCATCTGAATTCTACCATGTCTCACCCTGAGAAGTCACAAACCATCATCTGAATTCTACCATGTCTTACCAAGAGAAGTAACAAGGTTTCATCTGAATTCTACCATGTTTTAACATGAAAAGTCACACACCATCATCTGAATTCTACCGTGTCTTACCATGAGAAGTCACACACCATCATCTGAATTCTACCATGTCTTACCATGAGAAGTAACACACTTTCATCCGAATTCAACCATGTTTTCCCATGAGAAGTCACACACCATCATCTGAATTCTACCATGTTTTACCATGAGAAGTCACACACCATCATCTGAATTCTACCATGTCTTACCATGATGAGGAACACCTTCACACCTTCCCCTCCATCTGTGGCAGTGATTCTGACACTCCTGTTACTAGCTCTTTCTATCGTCATGCCTGGCCATATCTTTGTGTTCAGTATAACTCTCAGACTGCCAATGGTTCTCATAACTGTTTGAGAAAAATACAAAATATTTGACTTTTCCTGTTCTTTTTTAAGGTAGGATTCTTCTCACATTTCTTGTATTTCAAAATTAATGAAATTTTCACAGAATCAAGAGGACAATATCACTAAGTGATGGTATCAGTGAGATTAAATTTGACCGTTAAATATTAGAGGCAAGGTCAGTCAAGGTCATTACATTTTTCCTGGACATTAAGAATAAAAAATTACTGTTTCCAATCATGCAATCCCTACTTGTAATTCAAAAGATTGAATGTTTTTCTTTTTGCATAAAAAGATACCATATAGGGCCTATAAGATGACATTACCAAATTGACATGGATGAGTTAAATAAAATGGATATTTGCTAATCCGAATTTCCTCTACTTTTCTTAAATTTTTAGAATTTATTAGTTTTTTTTTTTTTGCTTCCTATATTTAACTTTTTCTAATTTTCACATATAGTGAAGTTGTCACATAAAGGTACAAAATGATACATACACTAAAAGTTTTGATTGTTTACCAAGAGAGAAATGACACTTTTTACGGATTTTTGGCTCAAATCTGTATTTTGATTTGAAGCATTTAAAAGCCAACATAGTTCTAGTATGTGTGAAAAATCTTACATATTTGAAATATTTTGAAACTTTACTCCCTTATTATTAATTTAACTTACCTTTGAAAATTTCGTCCAGTCTTTGATTGCGTAAAAATTATAACTAAATTCAATGTTCTATAATAATTTTGAGAGGCAAAAAAGAAGATATTTTCATACGCCACCATTCCGCCAAAAATATAGTCCCTGCTAGTTTTCAAACGCAGTTTACAATTTCTATCTAAAGTTGTATAATTGTGATGAGGTAAGAAAAATATGGGTTTTTAAATCTCTTACATCTAAATATATAAGACATATCAACAAATATACTTTGAATATCCCATCTAGTCAGAAACCAGAGAAGAATCCTACCTTAATTTTAAAACTCTCTTTAAATTCTTTTTCATGTTTAATATTATGGTACATGTGTATAGCTTTGATCAGAAGAAACAATTGAGGGTTCCTGTCTTCAATATAGGATGAAGACACTCTCTTGTCATCAACAACCTCTTTTTCAAGCAAGAGCTTCTACAAAACAAAGTTATAATCTGGAATATACAGACACATTCACCTTCTAATCAGGCCTGAACCATGGACTAGTGGGCATTAAGTTCAGCTTTGGAGAAAACTTTGATTAGTCAATACTCATTATAATAATGCAGTCTGTCCAATAGATGTCCAAGTGAAGATTACTATATGTATTATACAGATACTGAATGGGTACTCAAGAAATAGCAAAATTATGGTTCCCCATGGGAAGAAACTATTTACAAAGGCAGCGAGGCCACCACAGGAAATAGTTTTATAATTGGTTTATTTATATTAATATGGTCCAAGTTTCTAAAATTCCAGGTTTGTAATACTCAGTTGTTCCTCACATAAGGCATATTGGTATGTCATAAACAAGGGCACATTAACAGCCCAATTGTATGACAAATGAAATGATTTCATCTTTTCCATCCTCAACTTTCTTTATTTATGTAGTTATATTTTGCTATCACTTGCTACGATCTTAATGCCTTCCAATTTATACACTAAATGTTGTAATTTCTTTGATTTTTATAATGTCCTTATTTAATAGCAAATAAAACCTATCACTAGGACCTATTTTGGTTGATTTGTTTCATGCCAATTGTTAAGCCTTTGGTTTATACATATACTGATTTTGACAAAAATGTCCACCTAATCAATACAGAAGGTTCACAGCCGGGCATGACCAGTCAACAAGAGATGCTTACTCCTTCTAGGCACCTGATCCCACCTGTGGAATTTCGGGGCTCCATGTTAATGCCCTGTCCAAAGATTTGTATTGTTTTTTAGTTTTACAAGAGATTGATTGCTGTTCATTATTTTCATCATTTTCATTTATAATGACTATCGTGACAACAAAAACTCCCAGTTTATAAGACTTTTATTTTGAACGTGTGATTCAGTTTGAGCTAATCAAATAGCTAGCAATAACAGAGAATGGCAAGTATTACAAATATTGATTGTTTTAGACATTCCTTTATTTACTGAAATGAAAAATAAATAAAACAATTATAGCTTCTTGATCCTGTACCATCCCAAGATACGGAGACTTTCAGTATACTGACCCCACACTTCATGCTCAGTGAATATGTTTTCTCTAAGGGTCTACCACAGGCCTTTAGATCGCTTAGAAAAAAAAACTGAGGAGTAAAATATTTTTTTTTACACACACATTTGTTTTAAAGCAATCTACATGCCTTTGGGATCTACTACGGCTGTGTATTGAGCCAAAAATTTCGATACGATACGATACAATATTTTTTTAATCGATATGCAATATATTGGATTCTAAAACAAGTCCATCAGAAAAGGCTTCTAAATCATTTTAATGCATGAATTTCATAACAATTGTTTTATTACCCATTTTAAAGTTCTTGTCTCATTGTCATTACAAATAACACTTCAAATTAAACTTTTAATGACAATAAAATCAACATGTTCAAATAAAATTCTCTTTGTATTTTGTAATAATTATAAAAACTGTGTTATTTCCTTACAAATTATATAATTATTGACCAGTTTTAATTCAAAAAAGTGAAATATAATCTTTGGTGATTGAAATTCCCATCTTTTTAATAGAATTAGAAGAAAAACTCTCTGTCCAATACGCATTGGAAGTTATTTTTCGATACGATATTTTTCTTGAATATCAATAAGTACTGATATATCGATATATTGATACAGCCCTAGGGTCTACATATCTATCCAAGGATTGACTTCATAAAAAGGCAATGCATTTTTCATTTTACGTTTGACTAATTAAAGTTACCCTGGAGCTTGAACCTTGGGCAATGGATCATGAATTTCACAATTTTCAAAAAGAGGATTTTTTACAATTGTGAAAAAAGTTTGCATGCTAAAAGTGAGGATGCATTTTTTTTTTTTTAGAGATTTTGAAGGTTTTGCCCCACCCCTCAATCCCCACTGAGGCAGAGACCATGAAATTTACAATTTTCATTTCCCTTTACACTAGGTGCTATATGCCAAAATTGGTACTGCTGCACACACACAAAAAACAGTTTGAAAGTTTAGACTGATTGATGATGCACAATAATAGATAAGAATAATAGTGCATGTGGTGACCTAAATTTTATAGTGTATAAAAAATTTAACTGAAATTTAACTTAAAGTTAAAAAAGGTATAGATCATAGCCTTAAGAAGGGGTCACGTAGCTGCTACAACCTAGATGTTTCGCCTGATATTGACATTATGTCTCCTACCTAGTCTAGACTGGAACTCTGTCGGTGACGGTGTTATCAGATCATTCAACCTCAACAGTCCTCTGCCACGCTCCACCCAATTCTGACCATGGGATTCAAACACAAAAAGCTTGGCAGTGGCCTAAAAGCAAGTATATAATAAAAAATCATTCATTGTAAACTGTCAAATGCAACATTTCAAAAAGCCTCATTATTTTTTATTAACAGGAGTAATATAGTCTCCTTATGACACTGACATATTGAAATTGCATATGTCTCACAGAGCTTAATGCCTTTTTGATTAAGACAATAACCCTTCATGACATTTCACTGGGAGATATTTTAATTAAAAATAAATACTATTTATAGATATAGTTCTATGCCCACTCCCTGAAAATTTTCCCCATAAAAGGCTCCTAGATACTGAAAACATCTTAGCAACACATAATAAATGCACTGCACATCAATAATTGTTTTCCTTGAAAGTTTATTGTCAACAGCAACATTAAAGGACACTTTAAAATGAGAGTCTAGTTCGATATCACAATTAACCAGGCAAATCGCTTTCCCAACAAGCTATGACTATTTATATCATTTTGATTACAGAGGTCCAACCAGAAATCAAAAGACAAACATTTTTGTAAAGTACATTTTTATGCCCTGTTCACACAACATACTGTAAATGTATTATACATGTATTTAGCGTGTACAATATTTAGCAGAAAGTGATTTTTAAACAAGTTAGCGTAGATTTGATTTAGCGCATTTCTTGATATTCTTATTTATGTATCATTGTTTAAGACATTTAGCGATGTACTTGAATTAGCTGAAGTATCTTTCTGCCAAAAGTGCTAAAAAGAATATACCACCAAATGTAATACGTTTACAGTAATTCGCAGTAAATTAATGCAAAGTAAACTAATGCAAATCAAACAAATGCAAATTAAATTGTGTTCAGACCACAGCTAATGTGAAGTAAACTAATGCCAATTAAAAATCTACTTTTACAGTCAGGCATCAGTAAGGCTATTATGACATCATTTGCAAATCATGTCACCTTATGCAGAAGCAGATGCATTTTACATAATGTTACTGTACAACTACATGTCTGTACACCCATTTTAGTGATTAACACAATTTTCCTTAGTTTTTCTCTCAAAAATAGCACAAGTACTTAAAGCTGACCACTGACATGTAGCATCTGATCTAATTTTGCCATTATGCATGCCTCAAAATTTCATTCAGATTAGCTTGGCTTAGCGTTCACACGGAGCTAATGTGAAGTAATATAATGTGCTGTAAATTAATTCAATTAAATTAAAGTAATTCCCATTAAACTCCCTGTGTGTGATTGTGGTTCAAATTTAATTTGCAGTAACTTATGTTTAATTCAAATTAAACTCTCCGTATGAACAGGGCATTAATGTATACATATACAAAGCATCTGATTTCCATTATTAGAACTCTTCAAATTAGAGGCGCATTTGGTCGTCCGACTTGTACACCATGAAGTTTCGATGAATCACACATGCTAATCTCAATCCAATTTTAAACGTTCAATGTATTTATCATTCCAAATAAAGAACAGAGGAACTAATAGACATATGTAAGAGATTGACTGATTGATTGTATATTGTTTAATGCTGAGTCGTTGATATTTCACCAATACGTAAGTGTGAGAACCCTAAATTTATCATCCATTATGATTCATTCAAAATACCACAATTTTAGCATGTCTAAGGCATGCCACGTGATGTGCACTGTATTCATAGATGTATCATATGATAAATAGATACATACCATCAACAATAGATATAAATTGATAATATCCTTGTCGTTTCTATTTTTCATGCATGTAAAATCCACAACAATGAAATATTTCATTTGCATTTTTGTTAGGTTTTATTCATCAACTTTCAACATATTGTTACATGCTTAATATGTTACCTTTGTCACAGAAATCCCACAAGATTTGTGCATTTTCTGACTTTTTCACACAAGACTGACTAAGAACTATAACTCTTTCATAGTGGAAATAGATCATATTTAGAATCTTAGCTAAAATGGGGGTTAAGGAGGAATGCAACACCAAAGTTTTATTCCATGCAGAGCTAAAAATATTTTTTTTTTTGTCACTTGGATTATCATCTTAAATTTTTACTGGTCAGTTCAGTGCTTTCACTGCCCCACTAGACCATTTGATTTCAATAAGACTGGCTTAAAACCATAAAAATAGTTATAGGAATATTTTGTCTACATTGTGATACATGTACTTAATAGTACAACTTAACAGAACAAGATTGAAAGATCTTGGGCCCAAAGCCCTGAAAAGTTAACTAGCCTGACTGTGAATGAATTTTGTTCTTTAAGGAGAGGGTGTACATAGGCCTTGTCTGTTGCCCAATCCTTATTGTATTATTCAATAAAATATGTTTAAAGTAATGAATTTTGTCATGCATAAAAAAAATGACTCAGTGGGCCATATAAATTATTTGAAGCCCCACAGTAGAATGGATCTTTAAGACATCCCTTCTACACATACGTGTATTAGCTCTTTTGTTTTTCTTACCTTGGTACATTTTTTTTTTTTAAAGAAAATGTGAAAATTGTTTTATTATCACAGAAAATGCTTTGAAGTTTAATTGTGGTGTTAAGATTAAAATGGATTATGTATAGCATGAAAGTCTAATAAAATGTTCATAAAAGTCACAATGACATTTTCATTCTATATTTTTAATGAAAAAAATACTTATGAAAAGAAAACACATTATTTTTGCAAGTTTTTTAACCTATGAAAAAAATTTTTAAGAGACAAGTCACAGTTGGGGAGAATAAGCTAGACAATAATAATTTCAAAAGAAATTAAAACAGAAATTCTGAAATGTTAGGAAAATTATTAATTAAATATTTGGACCAATCCTGAACGAGATTAAACTGATCCTAATCAGAATTTTATAAACAAATTGAAAGATTACTTGGTTGCTTAAGATATAATTTTTTTAAATTTATTAATTTCATTTCTATTTAAAATATTATTGTCTAACATATTCTCCCCATCTCTGAATCACTTCCTTAAAATTTTATCTGTAGGTGTAAAACTTATTCAAAAATGCCTAAACAAGGAGAGTGCTAAAATTTCAAGCTACTTTCTAACTACTGCAAGGAGTGGTTGCTGAGAAAAATGTGACAGAAATTTGCTAAAGGCAGACGCACACATAAACATGAAGTTGACATTCGATTTGTAAAATGAATCCCACCTTATGGCATACCATGACAAATTTCACTCCTTTCAAATCACACATTATAATTGATCCATAACCTGACCATTCCATTCAAAATATGGAAAAATTCTATGTTTAAGGTACAAATATGGTGTTAGCTTTACCAAAAAATAATAGAATCCCCCTCCCCTACCCTACCCTTTTTATCATACTACTTGAGCAGTTAAGAAATTACTTTAATTTTTGAAGATTCATGAGTTTTTGAAATACCACACTTCACCTCAGCATATTTCATGAAGCATGTTACCGCTTTGATAAATATGCAGGCATGAAGTGTTGTAGTTAATGTACTGTACCTCATGAATCTTGAAAAAAAATTCATTTCTTACATTTACTTTGTTTTTCTGAGGAGTTGCCACAAATTTAAACTATTCAACTGTCATTTTTAAACCAAAACAGACTGCACTATAGTTTTGAAGTCAAAAGCAGTATTATGACGTAACAATGGAGATATCCATGCTCATCCATGGTAGTTCATGAGAAAATGAACAGTCTTCCTATTAGCAAAGAATCTTACGGAAAATTATTTAGAAATGTAAATATTATCAAATGACCTGTATGGTTAGAGCTACTTACCTGTAAATCATTGGACTCCCCCTCCTCCCCCGTAAAAACAGCCACTATCAAATGACCTGTATGATTAGAGCTACATACCTGTAAAACATTGGACTCTCCCTCCTCCCTGGTAAAAACAGCCACTATCAAATGACCTGTATGATTAGAGCTACATACATGTACCTGTAAAACATTGGACTCTCCCTCTTCCCCAGTAACAACATCCACTTCCTTATAGTCCACATGTTTTTCTTTTCTTGCTTGGAATTCACGTGCTGATTCCTCCAGGGTAAGGTTTTTATCTACAATGAACAGAATTCACTGTTGTATGAATACTGCTACTATGTGTACAAAGGACACCTTTTTTCATATCAATTTGGATCCCAATGACATCACTTTGATGATCACAATACACTGTTTAAGAGCATGCATCATGATTGGGATCACCAGTGGATGCTTCCTCATTCTGTTGTTTCTCCCATGACTTTCTTCAATGTACTGGACTCCAAATTATACCAAAGATAACTTAATAAAGACCTTGTTTGTGAATCACATTTAAAATTCTACAAACATGCCAACTTTATTTTCTGATTTTTAAGCACACCTGCGTAACTGCTGAGTTTTACAGAGTAAACATACAACCTGTCACAGAGATTTGTATTTTTAGTTTGAATCAATTTTCTTAGATAAAAGCAAAATTATCAAAGCAGTATCACATTTTTTCCAGTTATTTGTTTTCAAAAAGATGTCTAGCAACAAGTGCAAAATATAAAAATACTTTAGAACGATTTTATGAATTTTTAACTCTAAACATAATGATTGTTGTATACATAGTTGATATGGATGATACAGACTTATACAGTGTATTTACCTGTGGGAGACAGACAATCTCTGCTTCCTTCACTTTCTTCCTGTTCACCAGAAGATGGATCTGTCTTAATCACTCTCTCCTCCAAGTTCTGACCAAACACAAAACCTTCTTCAGTTTTCTCATTAGGAGACTTTGCAACACCCTGTATATAAAAGTTCATTGTTAAACCCATAGAGAATTCTAAACCTTTTTTTTTCAAAAGAGTGAAAATCAAAATTTTTGAGGCTTCAATGCAAAACTTAAAGAATGAAGTTAATTTTAATAAATCTATGGACTTACGGTAACACGTTCATCTAAATTTTGACCAAATATGAACTGTCCTGATTTTTCTTCTGTTTTGGAAGAGGATTCTGATTCTTTTCTGTAACATAAAACATAAGTAATCAGAGATTACAGAGCTCACCTCAACGTGTGTTGTCTTTAAGTAAGGCAAATTAAGTCACACAATTAACCAACAAAAAGTGTACATCCAAAAATGCAAAATTTATGCAATTTTGATACTTTGGAATAGACCTATATAAAAACTAAAAACTAGTTCTTCATCATGAAAATGTAATTAAAATCCAGCATCTGAAGCAAGATTGAGAGTTTTCATCCCTTGATGCATCATTTAAGCAACTGGTTTATATAAGCCTTATAGTTTCTTGGTGATAGACTTGCACCCATAACTTTTACGAGGTCTATTATATTAAAAATGTATGTCGAATTCAGCATCTGAAGCAAGTCCATTTGTGTGCATCCTAAGATGTATCATCCATGTAAGTTTGGTCAACATAGGGCTTAAAGTTACTTGCAAATGAAACCTGTATAAAAAATTAACCTTTCCACTATTGACTAATCCAGAAAATGTAGGTCAGATTCAGCATCCGAAGCCAGCCTAGTAGAATGCACCCTTAGATGTACCATCCATGCAAGTTAAGTCATTATAGGGCTCAAAGTTACTTGGAAATGAATCCTGCACTATAAACTTTAACCTGTTTACTCTTCCAGAAAATGTTGGTCAGATTCAGCATCCAAGGGAAGTCTGGTAGTATGCATCCTAAGATGTACCATCCATGCAATTTAGTCATTATAGGGTTCATAGTACACTGTACCTTGAAAATGAAACCTTCACCAAAAACTTTATCCTGTTCACTCAACCGGAAAATGTAGGTCAGATTCAGCATCAAGCAAGGCTGGTAAATGGTCCTAAGATGTATCATCCATGTAAGTTTGGTCATTATATGTCTCATATAACTTGGAATAAACCTGCACCAAAAACTTTAACCTTTTCAATGGAAAATGTAGGTCAGATGTGTTCCGAAGCAAGTTTTAATAAATACATGTGTGTATCATCCATGCAAGTTTGGTCATCATAGGGCTCAAAAATATATGGAAATGAAACCTTCACCAAAAACTTTATCCTGTTCACTCAACCGGAAAATGTAGGTCAGATTCAGCATCCGAAGCAAGGCTGGTATTTTGCATCCTGAACATATATCAGAGATGTAAGTTTGGTCAACATAGGGCTTATAGTTACTCATGAAATGAGACCTACACCAAAAACTGCACCAAAAATGTTAACCTGCACCAAAAACATTAACCTGGTCATTCCTTTGCTGAAATTTCAGCATCTGAAACTTTGACTGGTACAATGAAACTCACTAGCAACATCTTCCATGCATGTCTATTCAATATAGGACATAGAAGTACTTAAAAAGAAAACTGCTCCAAAAAACTTAACCTTAACCCGGGACGCCGACGCCGACACCGACGCCGACGCCGAGGGTATCACATAAGCTCCCCCCAACTTCGTTGAGGTGAGCTAAAAAAATAACATGCTTGATTCTCCGAAAATTAATCAACAAGTATACACATGTATTTTTAAAACATTTTAAAAGATATGGTTCCCCCTTTTGGTGTTTTAGGGATGCAATTATTTATGGCACATTTAATTTGTAAACTAGAATCCCCTTCACCCAAAGATACTAGAACCCTAGGCCAAGTTAAGTTAAAGTTCACCATTTGCCACTGGCTCTCTTATTGCAAGTTATTAAAGTTCACTTCGAATTCCACTTTATGCTTTATTATAAACATTGGTATCTGAGACAAGGTTAACTATTAATGTATTTTTTCTTCTACTTATATTGTGCATAGGTTGTGCTATTGTCTACATGTACTTTTAACAAGAACATTGAATCATTAAACAATAGACTCAAATACACATCCAACTATCAGCACCACTTGGTAGCACCTACATAACCAACAGAACTTTCATAAGTCAAATAAATTAACAATACCCATAAACTAAAACATCAATCTTTAAGATAATTACCCATCTGATTTGGCAAGTGCAGCAGCAAAATAATTTTCCTGTGCAGAATCATTCGTAGCACTAGAGTCACTTAAAGGGGCAGTCTCTTTGTCATTGTCTTTTTTCTTTTCCGCGTCACGTTTTACTCCTGAATCACTGGAGACTTTAGAGACTTCACTGGGTACATCCTCACTGCCTGATTTCTCTTGATTTTCTTTTTCTTTATCTTTAACATCACACTCTTGTAAATGGTAATAAATATGTTTGATACACTTCTATCAAAATAATCTAATTATCAATTAATAAATGTATATGAGAAAACTTCTAAATTTTAATGAAATATTTGGTATGTGTTAAATTGTTTTAATAATAAATACATGTGTGTCTTCATTTGCTTTTGTCATTCATTTTTCCATCACAAAATATATGGATTATTATAAAATGTTGAAAAATTGTATCTTGATTTCTTGCTAACCGTGAAGCTCAACTAGAATAATTTAATACGGCAAGTACCCTTTTGTTTCAAATTCTGAACACAGAAGGAGAGAGGTGAAGGTCGTAACAATAACTTGGATGGACTGGAGGTCTCTGTCTGGTTTAACATGTCTACAATAAAGCAAGGATGGAACATTTCACTAGGACTTTCCTAAATCTATAAATACAATTAAAGCAGTGATTGAACATTTGTCACACAGACACTAGGACTTCCCTAAATCTAAAAATACATATGTGTGTGTCTCTTGACATAACTTCACAAAGGCCATTCAAAAGAATCAATTTTAATAATTTGTGGCAATATTTCAAACTCTAAAAGTCACAAACATTCTGCAAAATCCTTAAATGGATTATTTTGACATTTAAATTTCACCTTTAAGCAAAGTTTTTAAGTTAACATCCAAAATACATGTATTAAACATATGACATAAATAAGAAGTGTTAATTGCTACATCTATAATCCTGTACTTTTTGATATGGATGAAAAATTAACCTTCATACTCTGTACTTTCTTTTAATGATTTTGACCTTTGCATGTAAACATTTTACAAGTATCGAAAAAAATCTAGATATTATCATTCAAAGTTCTCCATTAATGTAGAGAAAATGAACAGTGATATTAAGATTCAAGCTCTGGTTCTTATCAAATAAATGGGTGTTGATAAACATGTGAATAATTCTCACAATCTTATGATCTAACCTTTTTAGACTAAGTGAAACCAAAATCTGAGCATTTTTCTTTTTACCTTTGAGAAGCTACATGTATACTACACTCATCTGTTGAATTATTTTCATTCTATTTATTGCCATTCTTGCAATAATGCTATATTTATTCAGAAACTGTTTTTCAAATATTTTAATAAAGAAAATAATGAAATATGAAATATTAATTTCTAAGTAAAAAAAACCTCTGTTAATTAAGAATGAATGGTTGTTGTGGCCTAGTGGTATGGTACTTGTTTTGTAATTGGGATGTTTGAGTTCAATTCTTGTTCTCAGTGCCACATCAAATGTTAGAATTTTAACACAGGTAGTGACTGTTCCTTTACCAGTGTACATCACAAGAGACCTTAAATTCCAATGTCCACTATCACATCACAGCTATGAAAGCAGACAGACAGATGGACAAAGTGATAACCAAAAGGCATTAGCACCAAAGCAAGGCCTGTCTAGCATGATTTTTTTCATTCTTTAAGTAGGAAATTAAAATGTTGAAAGAACATGATCTTTCAAGGTAAAAATGTTATCTATACATTATACATACCCAGTTTAGATGGTGCAAGAATAGACGACTTTTGTGGACCACTTCCCTTGTTTTCTGTAAAAGAGGTTACATTTTACTATAAATACTTATATGTTTACTTGTAACATAGTAGTGAACATGTGAGAAGTATTTCTCAATTTACCTGTGCTACTTGAGGTTTGTGATTTTGAAAACACAGAACTAGAACCAAGCCTACTTGGAGCAATATATACTGAAAGAACAATGTAAAAAGATTTGTTTGTTAGTAGATAAACAACTTCAACTTGGTCAGTGAAAATTAATAAAAAATGTCTGTTTATGGCAATTACCAAAATTCTAAAATGGACTGATACATGATACAATCTAAGGAAAGACTTCAGTTTATGCAGTGTGACAATGGCACCAAAATTTTCAGAATCTTTTGGTTGTAAAAACTTGCTTTCCCCCTCCCCCCACATTTAATGTTCTTGTTAGATATAGGGTTTCATATCGACCACAAACAGACATACCTTTATTATTCTTATAAAATATTAAAGTTAAAAGATAAAACAGTAAAAAAGACAAAATCAGTCCCAACTAATGAAACAGTGACAACATGCAAACCTGGATGTGTGTTAAATGTGGAGTGAGAAGATTTTGAAACGACATCTGATTTCAGCATATGGCGAGGTCCAAATGGGTTTGGTGGTATCACTCCTGCAAAATAACACTGTTTCATGTCATTTGTATCATTGAAGTTTCCCATTGACACTACTATTAGCTAGCATTTTTCATTTATCTATACTGAAATTGATTAATCATTACCAAGAATAGTTTTTTAGAAAAATTATCAATCTTATAAGGAGCTGAATAAAAGAGAAGTTATAAAAGTCTGGTATTTACCAAAGTCTCTGAGAAGAATGAAACTCTACTGGTTTATACTTACAATGAAAGAAGAGAATTCTGGGTACAGTAAAATTTGTGTAATAAGTTCTACTGAAATCAAATCAAATCTAGAGGAGGAGTTATGTTTTGAAAAAAATAGTTACAGATGGAAATGCACATTTACTTATAAAATTAGTTTTCCTTGTTTTTAACAAAATAAGTCAAGATATCTTAAAACCAGAAGAAGTTATAACCAATAACACATGCTTCCATCACCCTGTCTAAGGAACAAGTGTGTGCTTTACCTAAAACTTACCATGAAATGATGAAGAATCTTTTGCCTAAAAATAGAATTTACTTGTACAGTTGAAATAGAACATAAAATAAAATAATTCAGAATGTTTATAAGAATTCCTTCCCTTTCATTTTTTAAATTTAATTCTAATTTAAAAGTTTTAGTTCAAAATCAATATTCCCTTAATGAATGATCCTGAGGCTTGAATGTTGTTCATTGGTGGATTATATGTCTTTTACTAGTACTTTAACTGAATGATCCAAAATTATAAACAGAATGATTAACATCATTAACAAAATGATTCATCCTAAACAAGTTCCTTTTTTTGGATATTAACAAAAACTCACATCAAAATTAATAATACTTCTATGGTTTTAGTAAAGTATTTTCTTTCAAATTAAGTAAATGGAATGAAATTTTATAATCATTAACCATTGTTTATGAGCAGTAAATTGAACTGATTCAGAATTAGGTTGAGAATTCTTTAGTGCTGTTTTCCTTGTTACTACTCCAATTCCTGTATATTTTGTCTTACAGGTTAACTTTTGATACCTTTTTACCACTGATACACACCTGAGAGGCTTCTGTTTCCTTCTGTCCTCCACCATCCTCTGTCTTGTCTTCTGCAGGATCTAAGGGAAAAAAGAAAGAAATTATGTAACTCATGTAACACGCTTTCAAACTGAACTCTTTTCCCATGTTGCCACTATTTGATACACTTGCACCATTTCCCATGTTGTTTCACATGTGCTTAAAAGGACAGGACTCCCCCCTCCCCCCCAATTTTTTATACGGTTTTCCTCATAAAAGACCTTGCAATGCCAAGGGGTGCTGAGTCAACATGTTGCCTTTCAAACCCCAGCATATTTCATTTGATATTTTATGGTTTGCTTCTCTCATTGAGAAGCAGCAATCAAATGTAAGTTTTCATAATTACAATGCTGTTAGATTTAAAAATAAAAAACAGAATGGATTCAGTTGACACCTCAAATACATGAGTAACATTACAAGTTGTTTAATTAAAACAATAAAATCCTTTCTTTGGTTGTTAGTACTGATATCAATGTTGCAGCTGTAACAGGAAAAATATGTAACCCCCAAAATCTGGTTATGTAATGCAAATTTTGTTCAGCAATAACTGCATGTGACTGTTAATTCCCATAAAAAGAACAAAAGAAAGACATTATATTTTTTATATCTATACATATAATCATTTACAGTAAGATTAAAAAGATTGATATGTACACCATAGTTTTCAACTGTCATTAATAAAACTGCCACTGATCCAGAAATGCCTAATATTGTTCCTGAAGTGATAAATGGCAATGGTTTTCCTAGTAAGAAATAGATCTATCAAAGGAGAAAATATTCAGTGGATGTAAATATTATAGAATGACTTAATGTGAATCATTAAGAAAAACAATCAAGATTTGTAAATTTTCTGAAAGATGTTGCTACAGTCATCCCATGAATATTGGCTGAAATTTGCCAGTGGTCCAACGGTAATGTGTTGTCTAACTCACTGATCAGTACTCCTGGCATTGCGAAGATGCCTCGAAAAGGTTGTCTTAATTTATATCTACTGTAAGAATATGCAGTTAGGCCTAAATATTTGATATCAATATTTAAGAAAGAAATAAAAATTTCATCAATTTATCATTTTATGGCCTTTTTTCAGGAATATGTCATGTCCACCAATTCTTTCTAATTTGCATATAGTTACTATTTGACTAGCTGCAGAACTGTAGCTCTCTGCTTGAGAAAATTCAGGCAGATAAAGCAGATCGAGAGCTACAGATCCAAGCGTTGTAAAAACCTTCAATTTACGCTGACAATTTTTTGTAGCTACTTAAGTATTTATTTCGTTTAGTTTAAGATTTCTCTAGCTTTTAGAAAGGTATGCTATAATAATTCATATATTTAACTGTTACATTTTATACTTTGTTTACCTTTTAACATCCCGAAACAGTCCCGTATATAGTTTTGTAATGTTGATTTAAAAGAGTTCTATCTCAGCGTCCGTAACCACGAACAGCCATTTGTTAGCGTTGAGAGGTAAGTAAGTGATCAGGAATTGAAGTTGAATAAATGATTAATTATTAAATACCATTTAAAATTATTTTCAAAGAGGGGGAAAGTGTAAAATACATGAAAAAATACCCATAGTGATTGACAAAAAATCGTCGGCGTAAATCGAAAGTTTTTACAATATGCTTGGATCTGTAGCTCTCTGCTTTAGGCCCTATCTGTCAGAATTTCCTCAAGCAGAGAGCTACAGTTCTGCAGCTACTAACTGACAAGCTCAAGTCACTTGTTTATTCAACAAATGACTTTTATTATCAGAGTTTATAGTTTAAAACATAAGATGCAACAAAAGAAACATTTCAATCAACTAATAAAGGAAAATACAAATTCCCAATTTCTATTTTGAATGAAGTATTGTATAAATGTTAAGCTATTTAGGCCTAGTCAATGTCTAAGCCATGCATGACCACAAAATGACATTTGAGTTGATGTATACGCCCTCTAATTTCGTAAGTCCGCCGTGGGTCTTAATTCGTACGACAATAGCTTTTATTTTCGGAATACATTCCGTGTAATGTTTTATCATGCCATGTACCGGTTTTAACAAGAAGTTATTGGTACTCGTAGAATGTATTGCTTGACAAAGCGTATAATCATTTTAACCAAGAAAATGTTAACATGGCAACTTAATTCTTTTTCAGATAAAGACAGTTGTTTTTCCTTAAAAGAGACATGTAAAGTTACATTATTGCGCTCACCCGTATAAACATCCGCCATGTTGATTTTTTTCTTCAGCTCATAACCTTGTACTTCCGGTTTTCTGTAGCGCCAAAATTTGAATATGACTCAGACTATATGTTTTAATTTCAAAATTTTGTTCATGACTTAAAGATATATGAGGAAAGGTTTTAAATCATATCTGGCGGAGGATTTGGGGGGAATTTGAGGGGAAAAAATGATTCAACTATAATAGTTACAAATCCTAGCAGAAACTTGAGGGATCGAGCTTTTGTGGACAAAACTTACATAGGTTGCTGTACTGATTCAACTGATACATCTTTTTATGTATCATCTGAAAACAATTAAAAACAGCTTAAATACAGGCAAAGGGCTGGTTACATTTATATCGATATCAGAATACAAAATGTAAACTATAATGAAAAAGGTGACCTGATCCCAGATTTTATATGGAAAAAAAATGGAAAAGAGTGGGTCCATACCCTCAGTGATTTATACAGACAAGGTTTAATGACAAAGAATGTAAATTCTAATTGAAGTTGTTGTTTGATTCCTGTGGTTATGGTATACATCCAAAATATGAGATTGTCCTATAAAATTATTCTTTTGGTTGAATGAGTGTCATTAATATTTATGAGAACGAGAGAATATAATAGTAAATTGATTTTGTGCTAAAAATGGTTCTTTTTTTGTCAGTTTGTTGACATCAGCAGCACAAGTTCAAAGATTAATATTTATTGTCTACACCCATTCTCAATATAAGGGCTCAAATGATGTCGCCTCATTTTCATTTAAAAGAAATACCACTGATGTAATTTTTAAATCAACATTATAAATAGTCATATAACAATGAATAAGAATTCATATAATTATCGATCTGAAAGGGTATTTAAGGAGTTCCAAATTCAAATATAGTAGCCTATTTGAAATGTACGTTACTGTCGCCGAGGCAAATATTATTCTGAATCCCCTCTGTGTAATATATAGTTTTGATTCTCAAGTAAAAATTTTCTGATAAGTTAAACCTTGTATCATATATATTTCTTTTCATAACAATAAATACATTTTCTTTGTGATAATAAATAATTTTTATTGTGCAATGTCCCTGTCGCTTAATTCTATTTCAACCACATTACAAGCAAACACAAAGATTATACACCTGATAGTTTTGTTCTCCTTTATTTATTGATGGGCTAAATTTGAAATTTCAAAGGATTAATTACTCCTACTTAGATAATGTAACATGAAATTGAACAACTTGAGCAACTTTTATAAATATGTTTACGGAATGAAAGACATTTTCAATCGTAGAGATAAGAAAGAAATGTACGTTACCTATATTCTTCCATTAAGAATACATATCAAGTAGAAAATATGATAGACTCTGAATAAGCAACCCCTTGTATCCTGTAAATTGGCAAAGACGTTTTGCTTAACACAATTAAAAATTATTTTTTACATGAAAAGTGATCATTTGAAATGTACGTGACTGAAATGTACGTTACCATGAAATTCAAATTAAGTGAATCTCGCAATTTTCATGTATTCTAATACTTTCACACACTCGAATGTGTACACAAAGGAAAGTTTCAAAGGTTGGAGGTCGGCTAAATCCCATAATTAATGAAAAGAAACGTCTCTGCTGAGGAAAAAAATATATCGAGGTCAATTATTATGTAATATAATTTTGATACCTGGAATATATTTCTGAATACGAAACCTGTATGATGCATTTCTTATGATATGCAGGTTCAAATAGTATCAATATATTGCGCGTCTAACGTATGCTTGTGGAAGAGAATTGATTTTTATATTTGAAATGTACGTTACGTATGGTAACGTACATTTTATGTATTTCTAACTGACATTTTTTTTAATTAAGTCAATGAATTGCGTTTACACGAGCGAAACAAAATTATCGTTACAATCCATTTGACAACTGGCCACATCTAAATGCACCCCAATCCTCGTAAATGTTTTAAACTGTTACCACATGCTAGAAAATTTGTTTCTAAGTGTCTTAAATTCATCTTTGGCAAACTTTTTGCAGTTTGTTTACTTTTCATGTGCGACTTTTCGTCAATATTAATTGAATTGTTGTTGATAATTTAAAACAAGGTATGCATAGGCTTATAACTGGTAAAAAAAAAACAAAGCAAAACAAAAAAGAAAAGAAAAAGAAACAAAACAAATAAACCCAGAACACAAGACGGTCACGTACATTTCAAATACTGAATACTCAGTTTTGTTTGAATCATTGCATTTTGGGTTATGTTTTTCCAGATCTGCTGAAAAGCACGTATGTTTGTGTTTTGAAAAACGATGTTGCAACATACTAAATGAAATTGTTAACAAGACTGTCGATGGATATATTCGGAATAGATTTATGTTAAGTTTCAATGGCCAAACACGAACATTTGTTAGATCATAGCAAAATACATCTGACTCTTATATTAGAAGTAACTAGGCTACGGCCGGTGTCAATTTCAGCGAAACAGCATAAAAGAATGGTTATGAACTGAGGTGGAGGGGACTCTCCAATAATATGTGAAATGAACGTTACCGAAGTGACGTGACATTCATCTAGTTGATGACAATAACCTCGTTTGTTACATTATGATTCTTATATTACTGCCTTCAAACGCTTCATTGATATGATTTTTATGTCAATAATTGCTTTTTTTCAATATTTTCTTATTACTAATTTACATATTATTACAAGATTGAAATGTACGTTACCTACTCATATTCTGAGGCAATCGTGTCTTTATAGTGGTGATTGTGACATATAACACAATGTGATTACATAGAGAATCTTTTTTGGAATAAACTGAAACAAAACGATGAAATTTTAGATGAATTTTAGATGAATTTTAAGCTTTTTATTAAACAGAAATATATCTTGAAATGTACGTTACATTTACATAGTTTTCAAAATCGGCATGGATATATGTTAAAAAAGACAGTAACTTCAAAATAGAATTTTACTACTTGTACATGTTAGGTTCCAGTATCTATTAAAAATGACAAGATTCCAAACTGATCGCTCTTAACAAAACAGAGAGAAGAGTTTAAAGCATATATTTAAAAATTTTTTTTACACATCTGGATCAAAAAGTAACCTTTGTTTTTTGAAAGGAAAAATCAAACGCACGTTCGTATGCCGAGAAAATATGTTGCTGACAGAGTTGGTAGGATGTGCTGGTGTTAAGATGAGATATTCCAATTGTGATTTTAATGACTACATTTTTTTTTGACATATTTTTTTGGACATTGAAGAAAGAGTACGTACATTTCAAGCTACATTTCTGAATAAAATTACCCTCTACTTTATCGTCTTGTCATTATTTCATGTATTATAATTTGATGAAAAAAAGATGGAAACAAAATCTTCAGATACTTTCTTTCAAAGGTAATTGATAGAAAAATTGTTATCTTGAACTTCATTTTTTAAAAAATCAGAGAGGCATTTGTGCCCTTATATTGAGAATGGGTGCTAGTTTTATAATTTAGTTGAATTTAGTTGTTTTACAGGTCATCTCTGGCCTCAAAAAATGTGTACAGGCAGATGAATACTTTAATTCCAGCATTTCCCCCCAAAAGTAGGCAGTTTACTGCAGGTCATTAACCTAGATATGTGCTCATACTAACACTTCATGTACCTACCGGTAAAAGGATTGTAGGCAATGACAGGTCATTAATTCTGAGCTAAACTTCCCTCCACCTCCATGATCTTACATTGAGCATTTACTGACTCACTCAAGGCTATCCCTTGTATGCCTTTAGTTGTGAAACTGTGGATGACATTACAAGTGTGCTTTAGTAGCAGTGCAATAGTAGATAATGCCAGAAAATCCCAGCTTTATGAAAGCTTGAGCAGCCAAATGCCCACTTTTTGACTACCCCTCTATATATGGAACTTTGAATATACCCCTGGCCTGCTATTAAATTGTGCATTACTACTCAGTTGTGCTTACATAAAGCACAGGGTCAAAGAAATTATCCAGCTACAGATAAACACACTTATAACAAAGTGCCAAGGATGGATAATTCTGCTTTGTTCTAAGCTTAATTCTTTATACACTGTACATTTTAAAGTAAAGGGGAATAAAAATTACTTTGCTATAAGCATCAATTCCTTATGCATGTGTTATAATGCTATAAACATGCTTTACAGTAGCAAGTCAAAGAATCTGTAGTCTAGATAACATCAACAGAAAAATATAGTCATAAATAAAGACATAGAAAGAAGGAAAGAAGCAAGAAAAACAATATTGCATTCAGATTAATAAAATGTATACATTTATATCATGAAAGTAGCAACTCATTAGTATGGATATACATCAATTTTATTTCAAAATTCATACATTATGAATTATTGCCCTTAAACTTAAATCACTTTTAAAAAATCTCCGAGTCTTCATTTAAACCATTGATCATAAAATTAGAACACTTTAGTTTGGTCATTTGTTACAGTAAACAAACTTTTTACATGATAGTCCCATAAATTTGGAAAACAAAGTTGCCATTAAAAAGTTGAGTTTTTTCCCCCAAGTAATACGTCACACCAACTTCACAGGTGGGAGTTTAGAATTGACAGAATCAAGTGGCGTCCATCGAGAAAGTTCCAGCACATCAAATATTTCCTGTAAAACAAACAAAAACATATTATCAGAACAAGTCTTACCAAGGTGTAAACAAAAGGCCCATGGGCCACATCACTCACCTGAGTAACTTTGGCCATTCTGTCATTTAACAGATTTCCCCCTTTGTAATACCTATCTTGACCTTGACAATCCTAAAGGGTCATGATTTGAACAATTTAGAATCTACACTACCCCAAGATGCTTCCACATAAGTTTCAGGTTTTCTGGTAGAGGGGTTCTTGAGAAGAAGATTTTTAAAAAAATTTCCCATATATTTCTATGTAAAACTTGGACTCCCTATTGTGGCCCTGCCCTACCCCTGGGGTCATGATTTGAACAGTTTAGAATCTACACTACCTCAGGATGCTTCCACATAAGTTTAAGCTTTTCTGGCCCAGTGATTCTTGAGAAGAAGATTTTTAAAGTTTTTTCCTACGTATACCTATCTAAAACTTGGATTCCCTATTGTGGCCCCGCCCTACCCCTGGGGGTCGTGATGTTAACAATTTAGAATCTACACTACCCCAGGATGCTTCCATATTTCAGCGTTTCTGGCCCAGTGGTTCTTAAGAAGATTTTTTAATGACCCCACCCTATTTTTGTCTTTTCTTGATTATCTCCCCGTGTAAGGGGATCTAGCCCTTCATTTTATAATTTCATTCTCGGGTGATCAAAAAAGCTCACTTGAGCTTACAGCTCAGGTGAGCTAAAAATGTCTGAATATATGACAATGTTAACAAAAATTCTAAAGATTACTCCTAAAATTTTCAATTCCCCTTGGCATTCAGATTTCAGTTTGAAAAATAATCTACTAGGGATCTATCCCTTTTTGATCCTTTTTTTCAGAACATCTTTAATAACCCTCCTCATAATAATCTGGTACATATTGGTTGAAAGTGATCCTTATATGGACTCGGAGAAAAACTCAAAGTTAAGAAACACAGGACAAGTGTGAACTTCATTCATAATAGGCCACACTCATTGTCTCTCCAATTTGCACAAATCAAGTAACCTTTTCAATTCCTCTTGCAACATTTACAATCATATATCTTATAAAGGCATAGACATGTTAAGTAAATTTCTGGCTTATGTTTATTCCACACACCTCACTCTGTTCCATGTAATCCTTGTTGTATCTGAATACATCTACTTCTAACTCAGGTTCTGAAACAACACATAAAACTCTATTGTAATTAATTATATTAACACTGAGATTAATTCAATTTTATCTTAAATGAAAATAACACACCCTAAACCTCAATCAGATTTAGTATAGAAGTAAAATATGCTGTATCTGATTACAATGGAAATCATTTTATGGAAACATGAGTACACACCTCAAATTGATTACTTAACTTCAAAATCATTTCTATTCATTCAATTCAAATAATAGTTCTGCTTATATATTTAAGAATCAATATGGAAAATCTAATAGAGAGAAATTTCACTATAATACATGTGTACATAATCCTTGTACCCAGAAATAATATTGTAATTTCTCTGTACACTGAGAAACATACAAAGATTAGAACTAATCTGTAACAGCACTGATGTTATTCTGTCTTTTATGAAAGTTGCACATACATGTACTACCATTAACCCTTTCGATCACTGAGAAGTCAGCATAAATCTTTAGTATCTCAAGATCAAATATAAGCACCATTGAATCCTTTTCACATAATCTTTCAGCAAGACTTTTCCTAAAGTTAAACTTTCCCATGCAATATATATTATTGACATGATGCCTGGGTACTTAAATGAAAAGGAATGTTTGGCTAGAAATATAACCTTAGGACAGGAATGCCCTGTCCAACGATAGATTTGTATTGGAACAAAAGAGGAAATGTGCCATGTCTTTTTGATCTAAATTAGTAAATACTTTGATATTGAAAAAAATTTCCATATTATTTGTACAGAATACCTAATACGGTACATAAAATTTGATGAAAATACCACAAATATTTTTTTTCAAACCAAGATATTACACAATGATTAAGATCAATGTCAGATGCCTTTATACTAAAGGGTGTGTCCTTCCTATATTTGAATGTTTTCTTATATTTAATTTGACAATTGTTAAAGGAACATGCACTGCTGTTTTTTGTTGGTCTATTTGTTAGTTATGTGACTGAGGATCGTTACGGAGAAAAAGCCCTAAGTCTAATACCTTCTAAAGCCTCTGGGTCCTCTTCCTGTGGATTTTCGTAATAATTATTCTACAAGACAAAGAACAGACATCATAAAATCATAATTTCTTTTTTTTTAATACAAGGTGTGATAATCAAACATCAAAAATAAAAAAAACCTTTCACATGCAGTATTTTCTAATCCAGAAAAAATTGACACTTACATAGCCTCCATACTGATCGTAGTACTGATTATATGCGTTATATCCGTAATAGTTATAATACGGGTTGTTGTAGTAGTTTTGGCCATAGTAGTTTCCATAGTATGCTGCATTTGGATCTTGGGCCATGGGCCTGCAAAATAACATCATTTAATGGTGACTTAGTATCCTCTATCAGGCATTATAACATACTGCAGAAAACAAAAATATTTGCGAGAGATTTAGTCACTTGCTACACAAAACTAATGAAAATTTCCCCTAAAATATAAGCTAATATAAACAAGAAGTCCATGTGTCCTCTCTCTTCCTTCCTTAATTGCCTCCCTTTGGAAAGAGGCAGTGCATTTTTTGAAAAAAATTGATTTTTCCTCACCAAATGAAAATTAGAAATGTTGAAATGTTCCATCACAGTAATCTCTGGTGACCTGAAAACACAGTATAACATGAGTTATGTGAAGTGACTTTATAAGCTCTACCTTTTAGGGGTGGCGAGACTGACTCGTATTGGCTTTTTCCCCACTCCCTGCATGTGTTGCATCTCTATAAGAGCTCTCTGTTGATCTGTCTCCTCTGTAAACCTTACAAATCCATACCCCTTACTTTTACCACCGGGCTCTAAAACCACTGAAAGTATAAATCATGAAAATCGTGTCAGATTTTTCGAAAGTAGACATTTACCATTGACCTCTCATACATGACTGCCTCTACCAATGTCAAAATCATTGATCTCTTTTACTAATTTTACCAAGACTTATTTGTAAACTCTTCTGTTACCTTTTGCAGACCTGCAAGACCTAAAGCGTCTAGAGAAAGCCTGGTACAGTGTGTAATCATCTACTTCTTCTGTCAAGTCTCCAACAAAGAGGGAAAACTCCGGCCTGTAATCAAAAATAAAATCGTTTTTAGTGAAATTTTATTGTACTGCTTGCAGATAAAGATAAGGTGTCTCATTTCCATCTTATTAATTGAATTGTGATACGTCAGTTGCTAAAAACATATTTCAAGAAAAATTGTTTAGCAATTAAATGATTTTAGTCCATCTACAGGTACATTCTAAATATTTTTTTTAAGTTTATAACAAATCTGTAAATATAATGTGTTAAGATGTAGTACATACGTTGATAGATGTTCCTTTCCATAGCTGGCACTATTTAACTTGAAACGTCTTGGCTGAAAAGAAAAGAAAATACAAATTCAACACAAGAAATAACTCTCTTTATACAACCCTATTGAACAATCATAAAATGTGCAAGTCTTCTATACCGCAGGACACATTTTACCTTCATAAAATCATCAACAGTCTGTCTGTGGGAACAAAAAGCTATCCAGTCTGTTTTCAACACTAGAAAATTGTCCCTGTCTAATGAAATTTAAAACATTGTACAAGTCATCAAAAGGATAGATTTGACTGTAACTTAGTTTTAGGCTGGCCCAGATCTGACTCTGGGCTACTTCCCAAGATAATACTTACAGGGCTACTGTTGGGTATGTTCTTTCCATTCAGTTTTAGCATGGCCTGGTGAGCATTTTCATGATCATGAAAATCAATGAAGCAGTAACCTGCAGGCAATCTAAAGACAATACAACGGAGAAAATGTAAGTAATATATCAGCGCTTAAGTAAAACTCAGATACATGCAGATTGTTTTTTAACAATGTAATTCATAATTCTTTTAAATATTTCAACATAGGGAAAATTTATGATGAAATATATGTCAGACCAAATATGATTTTTACCCTGTTGTTTTGCTTTTGATGACTTTAATTCCTTTAACAGCAACACCCATCTGTTTGAAAGCCATAGAGATGAAGGATTCATCCATGTATGGGTCCAACTAAAAACACAAATGAAAGTTTACACAGTTACTTTCACTTTCTGTCCTAGACAAATGTCCTAAAGAGCGCATTTAGATTATTGCCAGTCTGAATTGAGTATATTTGAGGCTCCAAGGCAAAAATTCCAGCATAATGTCTTAGGAGAATCACTACTTGACAAATTTGAGGTGGTAAGTTGGTAAAATACTGGTTAGAATCACCTACCGTATATACTCGCCTATAAGTCGGTCCACCTATAAGTCGGTTGTATTTTTTGACATTATTTTGGTGGGATTTGCTATTGACCCGCTTATAAGTCGGTACAACTTTTTGCCAGAATCACATGTCAATTTCTAATGAATACTCTGTTTTACCCTGATTTCAATTAATATTTTTTTAGAGATGAAGTCAATATTTAACTTTTAATCATAAAAATATAGATGATGCCCTCTTATAATTAATAAAAATAAAAATATTGAATACATGTTTATAAAATGCAAGTAATTTATGTATAATCATTTAATACAAATACAAATGTTTATAGAATACTACGATTCGCCATCAAGAAAAATACCAGATTTTTATGACTCGCCTATAAGTCGGACATAGACTTTTGGACTAAAATTTAACTCCCAAAATACCGACTTATAGGCGAGTATATACGGTAACTGTCTTGAGACAAGCCCTCAGCACAGCTAGAATATTTTGTCCCATATACATGTATTTGCAATGTAGCATTCAGAGCAGATCCTCTCTAAAGCTATTTTAAAGATTACAAAGGGAGTTGCACTAAAAATTACTACCAATTAATTATAGAAACCTTTTTGGGACTGGCTGCATATATATTTAGCTAAAAACAATAATCCATATTATGAAGATGAAACTTAAACCAATTTTCAACATTTTTTCTCACTTCAAATTTGCACCCCATATTGACAATTGGATCTCTCTGGATAATTCGTAGTAAATGCACTGATTTGGAGTTTTAGCTCCTGTTTATTTCGCTATATGCCAATACACGGAATGAATTTTATCGTTTAACTGGGTCTATAGGACAATAGGACAATATCTTTTTAATGATAGAATGTTCTATCTTGTAAAATACTAGACAGAAGGTTCCATCATTCAAATGATATTGTCCTATGGACCCAGATTGAGGTGAGGGCTTGTCCCGAGACACATTTAAAATACTCTAACTAGTAAAATACAGGAAATATCAAAAACACAGGTTGAAGAAAGGAAGGGCCCCAAAATGACATCTTCTGATAATAGTGTTTAAGTATTATAGATGATTTTTAAAAAATAAATATTTATTACACGCAAGGAGCATGCCCATGTAGTAACAACTCGCTAAAAATTATGCAGACACTTGCAGAGGAATTGAGAACTCTTTCTATTTAAGATAAAATTTTATTGCAATGTATTTTAAAATTAATTTAAAAAGCATGAGGAATGAAGAAATATTACAAGAAAATCAATATAATGTTTTAATAAAGGGCATACTATGACACAGAGAACTGAGAAAATTCGGAATAGGTCACACAGTGCACAGGTGCTCTTCACGACTTTTTTCTTATGAGCACCCATACTATAAAACACTATATATTAAAGTATACTTAATGGTATATGCCATTAGGGGTGGTCAAAGTGAAAGAAGACAAACGTCTGTGGACCTGTGCGCAGTCAGCAGTGCGGGACTTCCTACAGAAATAAAATGTTAAATATGTAATTTGTACGTAAGCTGAACGGAATAATTCAAATTTCACACTAACATCTCCCATCCAAAGTGATGTAGAAGCAGCTGCCATTCTTTAAATATTGTTTCCTTTTCCAAAAACGACACAAACGCAACCTCACTCGCTCATTCACAAAAATCCGTTATCAAGTCGTACGTAAGATACTTCGGGTGTTTTAATTATTCTAAGTTAATTAAATATTGGAGAAATGAATACTTTATTTTTATGTCAGAAACACTTTATTTTCCATGAGAGTAAATGTATATTTTCGACATATTATCTATATTATATTGATTAAATAATATATAATTATATCAATGATCCGGAGAAAAGCAGAATTGGTTTTACTACTGTACTCTAAGAACCTCAAAAGTGATGACGTTTTTCTCAAAGCACATGCATGTGAGAATGGATTTAGAAGTGGTTGTAGGAACCTATGAAGAGATTTTGCTTGGATTCAGAGTTGTTGTTGTTGGCAAGGTTAGTTTTTTGAACCCATGATTCAGATTAGATGCTCCAAATTCCATACAAGCGTGAAAGAGTATGAAACTTCCTATAGTCGACTTTCACATTACCGTCGCCATTTTAGGTCAAAGGTCAATCGGCGTAAACATGCCATCGCGTCAGTAGAAACAAGATGGCTACATGTAATACATCAGTCCAGAGGGTCGTTCAATCTGACGTATTTTGTTTTTATTCTGTAGCAAAGATCCATACACGTAAGAAAATCAAAATTCTTTATTATTGAAATTATTAAATAATAATAAATTGCCATTACTTTCATTCAAAATTCGTGCGAATCGGACATTAATTAGTCGCATAGCGTTTCTCCCTATGTAAACACTCATGAAGAGAGACATTATAAACTAGTCTTTAAAATCAATGAATACCGTTTCATACAGAAAAATATTTTTAATCATAGCCTTAATTATTGATATTACTTTGTTTCATCCTACAAAAATGTTTTGTTTTGTTTTTTCAACGGATATGTCATATATAATTGCGGTATTTTAGATCTAATGATCTATACTACAGTAGATATAAGATTTTATTAAAACCAAGAGACATACATCTCATAGGTAGAACACTGTATGCAGTTATGAATAGCAATCCCAACTGCCTGCAGTGCCTCATTTAGTATTATACATACTATTGTACATGTAGATGTATATCTAAGATAAAATTTATGTGTCAAAAAAAAAACAACAAAAACAAACTAGAGGTACTGTGAGCAATGAGCTCACTAAATGATACCCCCCTGCCTCCCTTAAGAATATAATGGTAGTGTCCATGTTTTGCTGTGGGAAACCCAAAATAATGTGTCAGATCAAAAAGTAAAATAGGAGGTGCACAATGGCAATATTTAATTAAGAATATGTGAAAGTCTCATCAAATTTCATTCAGTGGTATGATGCGGATAAGAGATGCATGGGTACCCCAAAGTGTAACAGGCGGATGTACAGACGGATATACCAATTACTATATACCCTCCTGCTTTTCAAGCAGGGTATAACAAAAAACAAAAACAAAAAACACACACACACACACAAAACCAAACAAACACAAAAAGAGATGTCTTAATCATGTAATTATAAGTATTTAAATTGCTATAATTATTAAATTTGATTAGTAAGTCTTAAGAAAGAATGATTAAAGAAGAAAATTTAATTCAAATTTAAGATACCTTGTTTAACATGTTTAAACAAATATACAATGCAGAGTGGCTCTTGGACTGTTCTCCCCTAACTTTCAGTGAAGATGTTAATTACATTCTTAAAATTTTTCAATGTCAAAAAATATTCATTGAAAAATCTTTATGATTTTGTTTTAAATTTCAGCATTTGGTGATGGGTATGTTGCAAAATTTTGTTGAGTTTCTAATTTTCAGTTTAGGAGTTCCAATTATTTTTGGTTTGTTTTTAAACATTATGACCCAGAGAGTTTGTTGTGTCAAAGACTGCAACAGCAGTGGATATCATTTGAAAAAATGGCGAGAACAGATTTGCGAAATGCACTCTTGCAATTTTGGCACATCAAGGTGCATATGCACACCACCCTTTCAGTTATTTCCCTTTCCAACTGAACTTCGCGATCCCCATGCACGGTCTGTATGGAGAAAGAACATAAACAGGACCTCAACAGATGGGAAGAACATTTGGTCACCAAATGACAATTCGCGAGTTTGTTCTAAGCATTTTGTTGATGGTGCACCCTCACTGCTTCATCCTTATCCCACCATAAATCTGGGGCATATGTCATCTATTGTCCCCAAGGGTCGCTTACCTCCAACTAAAAGAGAATTAAATAAAGAAACACCCAAAAAAAGGAAAATATCTGAAAGCCAAAATGACCCTGTTTATGTGTGCAAACTTGATCATGACTATGCAAATCCTTGTATCAAATGTATTGAAAAATCAAAAGAGATTTCAGCACTCAAATCAAAAATCAATGAACTCCAAATTGAGTTAATAAAGCAAAAGAAGCTAAAGCAAAAACCACTTTCCATTACAGACACAGTCTTAAAAAGTAACAAATCTGTAAGATTCCATACTGGTTTGCCTTCATTAAGTGCTTTTCACACCATCTACAAGGTTATTGAGCCAAAGATAAAGAAAACCAAGTACTGGAGAGGTCCTAAGCATGTGTTCCACACCCTTAAACACAAGGTTTTAAAGAAGTCAGGGCCACGAAGATTTCTGTCATTAAAAGAGGAGATGGCATTGACTCTTATGAAATTAAGATTAGGTCTTTTGAATGAAGACTTAGCTACAAGATTCAATATCAGTGCTCCACATATCTCAAAAATCTTCACCACATGGATCAAGATTCTATCCAAATTTCTTGGAACCTTGGTGTTCAATCCATCCAAAGAAGTAGTGCGTGAAAATCTACCACCAGCTTTCAGAAGCAAAAAATATTCATCTGTGCGCCATATCATTGACTGTACTGAGGTATTTTTAGAGAAACCGCAAAATCTAGAGGTGCAGACAAAAACGTGGTCAGATTATAAACACCATCATACTGCTAAGTTTCTGATCAGCATCAACCCATCCGGGATGATTAATTTTTTATCAGACTGCTGGGGAGGTAGAACCAGCGATAAATACATCACAAATAGATCTGGTTTCTACAGTTTGATTGAACCCTATGATGTCATCATGGCTGACAGAGGATTCCAAATCAAAGAAGAGGTTACCCTTCTTCATGCCAATTTGATGGTTCCACCAGGACGTAGAGGAGCTTGCCAAATGTCAGCTGACGAAGTACAGCAAACAAAGCAAATAGCAAACAGGCGTATATATGTTGAGCAAGCCATTCGCAGAATGAAGTATTTCAGAATTCTGAAGCATGAAGTCCCTGCTACTTTATTTCAGCATTTAGATGATATAATTAAAACTGTTGCTGGCATTTGCAACTTGTATCCTCCCTTGCCTAAATACAAATAAATTATTCCAAAATTTTCTCTTATGTATAGCACCTACAAGAACAAGTAAAACATTTTTTCAATTCACAGTAACATTTTTTAATGAATTAAACAACAAACAAACAAACGAACTAACAATGAAATAATATTTAACACTCCCTATGAATAAACAGTTTTTCTCTGTCAATAAATACTCATAATTTACTTGGATGTTGAACATTTCGAACAAAACCACTTATCTTTCTGTTTTAGTACTGTTTGTGTTACATTTACACACTTAAAATGAAACCACAAATTGCATTCATCACAAGCAATGCTTCTGTCACTATAGGATGTAATAGACCCTGTTTCTTTTATGATGTTTCTACACACTGGACAAAAATATCGAGAACTGTTACTTGTACCCACATCAACATCCATAGGTTCTATATTCTCTTGACATTCATTAAGTTTACCTTGTAATAGTTCAGGTACAATGTAATCAGTGAAAAATATAACTAAATTTGGTAACAAAAATTTTGAATATGCATCCTGATCAAATTTGATTCTACATTGTAATGGGCCATTTTTTGTGTATATATATAAATCACACCAATTGCGACCTGTTATGCCGAGCTGACCCTGAATCTGGGTAAAATATGCATGATTTTTTTTAACACAAAAACCATCATTACAAATTTTTACATATTCTGGAAGATGACAAACACAAAAAGATTTACATTTTTTACACTCCGGTACAAGAGGACACTTAACTTCAAGAAGACCATCTCCACAACATGAACAAGAAACCAGTAAATCTGGTGTAGCACTAAGAAAAATATTTCTCTTGTCTATAAACAGACCACACTTTCTTGATGACACATTGACATGTTGTTTTTTATAAGTATTTAAATAAGAACAGATTGCTAATGGCTCAGTTTCTCTACCATATTTTAAAGATTTGATATTGGGATTAATCTTTGTATAGCACATGATAGACTTGGTAAGTGAAGAACAATCTACTTGTACATCTTTTCTACGACCATCCAGAACAGAGTTCACTTTTGTATATACTTGATAAAATTTAGAAGCAGTTATCCGTCCTTTATGCAAGCGGTGCCAATTTTCATTTTCATGTTGTCCAACAGTAAATTTCTCAATAGTTGAAATTTCATAATCATCAATTTTTGGTAAAAAATTTAAAAATTCATAACAAGTATTTTGAGAACCATAAGACTTTGATATGGTTGATAAATCAAATTTATCAATAACAGAAAGGTCTTCATGGCCTGTATCTTCTTCGTTTGATCCTACGGCTCCCTCTGCTTCCTGAGCTGAAGTTGGAACATCACCAGTCCGAGGTAAACCTTGAAGTAAATAAACAAAACTAATCATAATAAGTCTTTGACTGGTGTAAAATTTATCCACGTCTTGTCAAACTAGATATGTTGTATATTATATGATGTACCAAGCCAACAAACTGGGCAAACCAGGAAACATCTCACGGGAAAGTATCGATAAGCAACATAGTAATGTGCCAGATTAGTCAGTGAACATCATTACATGTGAAAACATTTTTACAGTATTTCCATCTTACAAATTTTATAACTATGTTATATAACTTATATAGATTTTTATTAATTAATTAGTAATAATACATTTCAGAATTATACAGTCATGCTAATTGGTTTAAAGGTTGTCAAATGTGAGGAGACAATTTGTGAAGTCTTATTCATGCTCTGAAGGGTGACACCTGTGTTGCCTCCCTTCAAATGACAATAAAATAGCTCAAGCGAGCAATCAGTATGACAACTCTGTTGTCTTCACTAAGTTTAAAATAGGTGTCATAAACAAGATGACTCATATTTACAATTACATAATTAAATTTGTTTACGGATTGGTAAACAATTAATTTTAACAGTGAGGACAAAGTTATATTGAAGATACTTTGAAAGTATGGAATTGGAGCAGTCGATAGAAGAAAACATGATTTGACTAATGTTTTCTAATCTTATGCTATCTTAATATAAGATTCTTTATAATAATAAAACAATCATGGACTGTTCAGAAGGGGACC